TGGGAGCTGAAGTCCACACATCTTCAAGTTGCCAAGGTTGGGAAACACTGCCATAGGAGACCCTTTAGTTCTTCAGAAGTGCCTGTCAGGCAGACGCAGATTTCAAATACAAAAGAACACATTCACGTGAAGGAATCAGCCCGCCACCAGCCCCGAAACCATACCCCCCTAAAGCTTTAATTACCTGATTTAACAGATCGCGAACGTTCAGATGACCCACTTTTCTGCTCTTCTGTCTCTTTATCCTTCTTTTCGTCTCCGCTGTCTTTCTCTTCCAATGTTTTGGAGTCTTCGTTTTTGTCGTTCTTTTCTTCTTTAAGGTTGAGAGGCCTACAAACAAGTCAAAACAACAGCTGAAGCTGTATCCGACATACATCATAAGTCAAAGTTCATCACTTTGGTCTCGGGGCAAAAGAGCACCAGGCGATGACTTGTCAAAGAACAATAAAGGTGGCATTCAGGTATAAATCTGAAAAACAGTATGAGGGGCACAAACCCAACCCCCCTCACATTTTCTTGCACTTTATTGGGCATGGCCTAAGAGGATCAGAAGCAACCATATCCATCTTTGAGGGCCAGTTTGGTGTAGTGGTGAAAGTGCTGGACTAGAAACCAGGAGACTGGGAATTCTAGTCCTCCCTTTGAGACAGAAGCCAGCTGGGGGACTTTGGGCCAGCCCCTTTCTCTCTCTCAGTCCAACCCACTTCATGGGGTGGTTATTGGGGGGGAAATAGGAGGTGGGAGCTTTAGGGATGTGCACTGCCTGGAATTGATGAAAAATAAAGGCGGGATATAAATAAAATAATAAATAGATCTCAGCTCTAGGAAAGTACAGGTAGTCTTCATTTAACAACCATTCATTTAGCGACTGTTCAAAGCTACTTTACGACTGTGCTAAAAAGCTACTTACAACCAGTCCTCACACTTACGACTGTTGCAGTACCCCACAGTCACATGATCATAATCCAGGCACTTGGCAACCAGCTCGCACTTACGACAGCTGCAGCAACCCCAGGGTCACATGATCGCTATTTGTGACCTTTCCAGCTGGCTTCCAGCAAGCAAAATCAATGAGGAACTGCATGATTTACTTAACAACCACCACAAAAAATGTCATAAAATCAGGTGGGGTCACATGATGTTTTGCTTAACGACCGCCCTGCTTAACGATGAATTTTCCAGTCCCTGTTGTGGTTGTTAAGCAAGGACTACCTGCAGTAACTAAGAAAGAGACTTAAAATAACCCTGCCTTGATTCTGCATGGTATAAGAGAGGATGGAGAGAATCTTCAGGCAGCCACTTTGGTGTAATGGCTGAGGTGCTAGGCTAGAAACCAGGAGACCAGGAGTTCTAGTCCCCACTTAAGACTAGAAAGCTAGTTTTGGACCAGTCCCTCTCCCTCAGCCCAGACCACTTCACATGGTTGTTTTTGTGGGGAAAATAGAAGGTGGGAGCATTATGTACGCCCCCTTGGCTTGTACAAAATAAAGGCAAGATATAAATCTAATAATAAAGTTGCCCAATTCCAGTTCATCATTGTATCCCTACTGAGAGAGTCTGGTTAACACCTGAAAACCATGACTTGTTTGAACAAGTTGAGATTACAAGCTGTAGCATATTTGCTCTCTTTAGAAGAGACTGCCTGAACACTTTGGCGAAAGAGATGATTAAAACCCCGGTTTACTTTTCTGATTTGGAGTCTGTAGAATGCCGCCTGTCTTTTTCCTTCTTGGCATCATCTTCCTTCTTCTCGGATAACGGCTTTTTTCCAGCAGGTTCATTCTTGGCCTGGAATCACACAAGGAACGGGTTATTTGGAGCTGGTCTAATCACACAGCAAGAAGCCATCCCTGCTCCAAATCACTCCAGGCGACAAGGATGAGGTGGAGGAAAAGCACAGTGGAATCACCTCCAAATGCTCCCCATACAGAAGAACAAACGTAGGGGTGGGGGAACATGGAAAGGTTAAAACTCTTCCCCAGTGGGCTTCCCTTGATTTTAACGTGTGCTAAAATGTGCACAGAGTAGTATTTCACCAGTGCTCTGCTGGCAGGGCTGGATCTATGTAATCGCTTCGGCCAGTCTTCCTCAACCTGATGCCCTCCAAGTAGGTTGGGACTGCAACGCCAGAGTTCCTCATTAGCCCGGCCAGAGAGAACTGTAGGAATTGAAGCCCCAAAGAATCTGAGGGATCTCAGGTCAGGGAAGACTGCTTTGCTGTGGCTGGTCAAGAAATCATCACCATTGGCCCTGTCCCTGCTATGCTATCTAGGGCTGAGGAACCCCTTCTCTGAACCTTCCAGTCTCTCTCCTACCACGGCCAGCTTATCTGCTCCTGGCTCCTCCCCTGGCTGAGACTGACGTTGGTTGGACACTTTTGAATTCCTATCTCATCACTCACAGAAACACTCACTTTTTCCACAGAAATCATCTTCCCGTGCAGTTCTGTCCTATGGAGGTGGCTGATGCATTTGGTTGCTTCCTCAGACGAAGACATGGTGACAAAGCCGTAACAGCGGGCCCCAGGGCTGCGGGCATTCGTCACTACTTTTGCACCTACCACCTTCAGAGAGGGAGAAATTAAGAAGAGGACAAAAACGCAGATTGGGGTTACACATCACACCAAGCTGTTGTTTGTTTAACCATGGCTTATTAACTAAATCATGACAAAATGGCTAGGTCATTATTAAATGCTGCTTTCTAAGCTATAACCCACTCAGTGTGTTGGGTTTACTCCACACAGCGAGTCAAATATAAGCAAACCACATTATAGTTTAGCATATGTGGAACCATCCACTTCTTGCAGACATCCAAAGTAATTATTGGCAAACTTTAAAATTTACAGAAAGAACACATCTGTGCCATCTTGGTGCCCCCTGTATGTTAGATAATAAATCCTGTAATTCCTTCCTGGCTAAGTAGCGTGGAGCTTGTACAGGTAGTCCCTGACTTATGACCACAATTGGGACCAGAATTCTGTCGCTAAACAATGTGGTCGTTAAGTGAGTCCTGCCCAATTTTATGACCTTTTTTGCCACGGTGGTTAAGTGAATCACACAGTCATTAAATGAACCTGGCTTCTCCCATTGACTTTTGCTTGTCAGAAGTCCCCTGGGAAGGCTGAAAATGGTGATCACGTGACCCTGGGATGCTGCAACCATAGTAAATACACGTCGGTCGCCAAGCATCCAACTTCTGAGCATGTGACTGCGGGGATGCTGCAATGGTCGTAAGTGTGAGGACCAGTCTAAGTCACTTTTTTCAGCACCACTGTAACTTTGAACAGTCATTAAACAAATGGTCATAAGTCGAGGACTACCTGTAGTTCAAGCGTGCCAAATAGGAGCATGGCTGATCTAGACTGTTAACCCAACTTCTCAGGACACTTTGCAAGGGAATAATTAAGCAAGTATCACAGAAATCTGTCTGAGCATAGTTCTATAGCAAAGGCAGATGAATTGTACTAAAACAACACATTTAAATAAAAATGTGGAACAACAGTGGCCAACAATAGCCGCTAAGTAGGGTCCCCCCCCTTTTTTTTCAAATTTAAAATTACTATTTTAATCAAAACATTTCTTTGGCAATACTCTAGTTTCCGAGACATACAAAGCTATAAAATGTAGGAAGATTAATCCTGGCAAACATATTCTGCACTGCTTATATTTGTTCCAGATAAATCTTTAAAGAAATTTAATAAAATAATGACAGAAGGAAACCTGGAAGTAAAATCCAATCAAAAAGGGAGCAAATTCCAGGAATTCCATACAACAGCTCAGAAGGCTACAGAAGATCTCTAACAGAAGCGTACCTGTCAGCATTTCCTGCCTGGGGTTACCCATCACCCTAAGCCATGGCTTGTTCACCAGTTGATTAGTAAACCACAACTGACTGGTTTGCACAACACCCTAAGCCATTTATTCTGATTTACAAACCATCATGGATAGATGCATACAGCACACTAAGCTATCAGTAAGTAAGGCTTAGGCTGGTGTGAGCTACAGATGTGGGCATATACCCAGGTGAAATAAGGAAAATTCCCAATGATAGCTGTCTAAGGGTGCTTTCTGATTGGAAGAAGGAACAGACAGCTAAAGAAGCAAGACTTCTAAACAAATGAATGTTTTGGAGACACTTTATGCTGCCTTTGCACTACACTCAAGTAGAAATCAAAGTACTACAGATTTCCAAAATCTAGTACAGGTAGTCCTCGACTTACAACTATTCATTCAGCAACTGTTTGAAGTTACAATGGCGCTGAAAAAGGAGACTTACAACTGTTCCTTGAAGTTGCAGCTGTCCCAGCACTCCCACAGTCACATGATGGCGATCTGGGTACTTGGCAACACATTTGCAACTACAACCAGTTGCCAAGCGCCCTGCAATCACGCGATCTCCATTTGCAATCTTCGATGCCGGCTTCCCCAGAAAGTCAAAGGGGAAGCCAGGGAAAATTGCAAGTTGTTGGGGTAAGTCTCCCCACCTGCACACCCTCTCCCAGACCCTTTGCACTCAGGCTGCGCCAGGCCCTTGTGCCCCCCCCCCCCGCGCTCTCCTCGAGCCATGTGGTGCCTTTCATGCAGCCCTGTGCACCCTCCCAACCTGCATGGCACCTCTCACGCACCCCCATCCTCCCCAACCTGTGCAGCACTTCTCATGCACCCCCTCGCACCCTCACACACCCTCCCCGACCCTTCCTCAAACCCCCATGAACCCCCTTACTCCCTCCCCCACCTGGCAGCAGTCATTTACCTGCCTCCCGACCTGGGACTTGCAACTTCCTGCTAGCTTCCCGCTGACTTTGGTTGTGGGAAGCCAGCAAGAAGTTGCCTCGCCTAACAACCATGGAATTCAGTTAACGACGGCAACTGGGACTGCAGGGATTGCTGTTGCTAAGTGATGCAGTTGCGCTTTACGACCGCATTGCTTAGTGACAGAAATTCCAGTCCCAACTGTTGGCATAAATTGAGGACTACCTGTACTTCCATATGTCCAGAGGTGGCAGTTTCAAAATCATGTAGACAACAATTATGCTGGCTGAGAATTCTGCGAACTGTAATTCTAACACATCTGAAGGACACCAAATAGTGGAAGCCTGCTCTAGAAACTTAGCACCTAGACATCATCTCAGGCTACATAATGACTGGGGATGAGGGGAGAGGGAAGACCTCACTGGTCATGGAAGGAAGGAAGGACATGAAAATTCTATGCAAAGGGCACAGAGTTGCCCATGAAGTAGTTTTACAAAACTAGTCCTTGCTCACTACTTGGAAGAAACTGATTCTCTTGGTTCCACCAAACCTCCTTATTTGGAGCCACTCTTGGTGACGTAGGTGAAATCCAAGAAAACAGAACTGAAGGCTGAGTAGAAAAAGAATCTGAGAAAGGAACAGTACCCCTAAATGTGTAAACCCCACAGACTTGAAATAAGACTGACAAAAACTTCCAGTCAAACCATTTTATTTCTGATTGCCGTACCTTGCCATATTTGCTAAACAGATTCTTCAGATCAGTAGCTCTTGTTGAAGAGGAAAGACCACTGACCCATAGATTTCTGCCAGAGCTAGCAGCGGAGCGACCTATATTGGGGACAGGGAGGGGGAGGAGAAGAGATCAGTTGCGACAGCAGACTCTGGGTTGAAAAATCCAGAAACAGTAGCAGTTTGCCTCTCAGAGATCGAAAGCCAACGAAGATAATTTTGAAACCCATGCAGCACCTTAATGAATTTCAATCTCAGGAGAATAAAAAAGAATAAGTTCCTGGATTCTGGGACAGTGATCCAGCCAAGATGGCTGAGTGTAACTGACAGAGACTCTGCACTCTCTGTCTGATTACTGAATGGACCTATTTGCTGAGTTCACAACACACTTTGAAAATTAAGCTAACAAATAAACTAGTTTGCATTTCATGCTCAACCAGAAAAGTCTTGTTTACCAGAGAATAGGAGGGAAGTGGGGGGAGCTGGGGGGGAACGGTGAAAATAAAATTGGAAGCAGGAGAAAAGAATCCCCAAATTGAGCTTCAGCTCCTGGGGGCAACATTATAAATATTAATTGTATTTGGGGTGGGGGAAGTTTGCAGGGTTCTGGGTCTCAGCGAGTTGTATCAAAAAAATCTTCAATTCTGCCACTACTGGTTTCTGCTGCCCCCTTCCCTTCATGTTTTGAGCATCTGACAGGGAAAAAGAGAAACAATACTACTGCATAGACCAGGGTTTCTCAACCTTAGCAACTTTAAGATGTGTGGATTTCAACTCCCATAATTTTAAAGTCATTAAGGTTGAGAAACCCTGGCATAGACTGTCTATTCAACCACCAGCCAACTTTCCTGGGAGTCAAAGAACGCCCCCCCCCCACCTAGAAGGTTGTAGGATCAGGCTTCAGCCACCCTAGTAAATGCTCTCTGTTTAGGCCTTCCTCAGATCATCTGAAAATGGCACTAATTGGAGCAGGCCAGTGATTTCTATCCTTTTCAGATCTAGCCTGCAGCTGTGATCCCAGCCAGCAACATGGGTTTTTTTTTCCTATTCTGCTTTTTGATTAATATGGATCATAAGAGGAGAGGATATAAAAAAAAGCACTGGGACTTCATTTTAGCCCCCTCCAGAATTTGGCACTGCTCGGGGGAGGGCGCCTTCCAGAATTGCGCAGAAGAAAAATTCAAATCAATAAGCAATTTCTACACAATTTGCAGTCTGTTCGCAAGGACTTTTAATTTCCCGTAATTTAATAGTTGCAGCAACAAAGCCCTTGTTTTAAATTCTGCTGCTAGAAGAAAGAAAGATAGGGGAAGGGGGGCCTGGAGTAGATTTTTCTGTGAGAGGATGAATCATTCACTTCCAAAACTCAAAAACAAGTTTGCAAGTTCATTAAGTCTTCAGTTCTAAGCGTATGCATTTTTTGTACCACATTCTTAAGTTGCAGATCCTGCATCTTAAATTTAAAAAAAAATACACGCTTGACTTTAACTGTCTAAAGACAGTGCAAGAAGACCGGGTGCACCAGCTGAGTTGCTGAATGTTGACACGAGGGCCTTTTGTGGCCTGCCACATACGCGTGATGGCCACCTTTTCTTGCACCACGTGCAAAAAAGGGTTAAGGTTCTACACTGTCATCTTGACCTACAAAGGTGAATTTTGGAGGTAGACCTTGGCAATCCAGTCTCCAGAGGCATCGCTTGATTGGGGATCTATGGAAGAGGCAACAGAGGGCTATATGAACCAACAGAATGTACGCAAAGCAGCGTGAGGGAAATGACTGAGCACAAAGATGCAGTACCTTGCTTTGTTGAGAAAAAAGAACTTTGTTACAGGTAGTCCTTGCTTAACAATGACTTGAAGTTACAATGGCCTTGGAAAAAGTGCTTTCCGACCTGTACCCACACTTATGACCATCAGAAACCGTTATACTCCCCTGCGGTCATGTGACTGCAAATTGCAATCTTTTTACAACAGTCGTTAAGCAAATCACTGTGGTCATTAAGTGAATCATGTAGTCATTAAGTGAATTCCGGCAAAAAATGTCCATTGGGGAAGCTGGATTCACTTAATGACATGATTCGCTTAACAACCATCATAAAAAGGTCATAACATTGGGTCCAGTCACATGGTGACTTGCTTAGCAACTGCCCCGCTTAACGACCAATTTTCCGGTCTCTATTGTGGTAGTTAAGCGAGGACTACCTGTATTTCTATTAAATTCATCAAGATTCACAGAAAAATTAAAACTGCATGACTGGGATAAATATATAGCTATATACATAGATATGGCTACAAGCCTACCCTTCTCAACTTTGGAAGCACTTTTAGCCTCTGCATCCTCATTTGAGCTAAAGACGGGAGGGAAAAAGAAAAGAACATTATTCAACCAGAAAAAAGCCATATGGAAAATGAGCAGGCAAGGCTGCATGTGCTATGATCAAATACCTACCAGAGAAACCAAAAAGAAGAATTAATCTTTACTGGGGAAGGGGCACATGGGGGCTTTTAAAAACCCCAAAGGAAAGTCTCAGTTGACCACAACAGAGCTAACTGCTTATAAGGAATAAAAGTTAAGAATGCAACCTTGGAAGATGGAGATTATTTTTAAAAAAAATGCTTAAGAAAAGAACAGCCAAACAGTCTCCTACAAAAACAAACTGTGCAAGGACAACTAAAAAAAAGAGACTCTATTTAGAATTATAAGCTATCATCTTGTTAGGGCCCTCAGCAGGGTAATTGGAGAAATCACAGCACATTCGCATTCATAAACAACCAACGGGCAAGAAAAAAAGACAGCATCTGGTCTAAAACGGAGAAAAACAAACCTCGTGTTCTGATCACCACCCTCTTGGGCAGAGGACTCTCTAGTGGCAGAGGACTCCTCCTCACAATTAGCCTTCA